ATATAGTAGTATAAAAGTCAAGCTGAAAAGTCTTACCCCTGTATTGTAGTGGGAGGGGCATATTTATAGAGGGCATTTAGTATGCTCTTAGTGCTCATTTTCGATGTGGGACTCGTGGGAGGGCCCTATGAGGTTGACACGAGTCCTTAGATATTTCAGGCGGGTGCTTCGAGGTTGATTCTGCAGAATCGGTAGGGGATACCGATTGTAGGCTGTGTTGGGCTTGTAATGATCTTTTGCTGCTTTGAGACAATATCATCAGTAGCCTATGCCGATTGTCCGAGGCCTTGGGTGCTTGGGCGAGTTTATGAGATCCACGTGTCGTTGTACGAGTGGAGGGTCAGATATGGTACAAACAATCCTAGTCATGAGTTTTGGTTGATAAAAATATGGTATTATTTATAGAAACAAACAGTGAAGGGTTACAGTTAAGGTAAATTGAATTTGAAGGGAGTAAGCCAAATTTACTAGCGATCTTATTGATATTTTAGTCCATAGTCCAAGGTGAACGAACTGCCCCTCCTTTATAATCAAAACATGCGTTTCAATTAAAACTTTAATAAAGGCTTTTCTCAATTAAAACTTTAATAAAGGCTTTTGGCCAGACGACGTCGTCCTCTGCTAGGTTATATAATAAATAAATAATTTGGGCCATCTTCTTCTTCGCGTTTTGCTGTCTGCTAGGCGCATGCTTTTTATTCCGGTGAATTAGCTCAGGCGATTCACGACCATGTATTCATCTTCTTCTTTTTTGTGGTCTGGACATGACCATGCATTCATCTTACAATGAGACAACAACTAAACCAAATCCATGCCCTACTCATCAAAAACCCAAAACCCCAACTCTTAAACCCTTTACTGGGACACCTAATAAACTCCCCCACCCCACAAAATGCCTTCTTCCTCTACAACCAAATGCTCCACCACCCAACTTCCCATAACCACTACACCTTCACTTATGCTCTCAAGGCTTGTTGCTTGCTACATGCACGCAATAAAGCTCAAGAAATCCATGCCCACGTCCTCAAATCCGGTCACTTTTCCGATACTTTCATCCAAAACTCACTGCTTCATTTCTACCTAATTCAAGCTGACATTGTTTCCGCTACCCGGGTTTTCAATTCGATACCACTCCCAGATGTTGTTTCCTGGACTTCGATGATTTCGGGTCTTGCTAAGTGTGGCTGTGTAGAGGAAGCAATTCTTAAGTTTATGTCCATGGATGTGGAGCCTAATTATGCTACTCTTGTCATTGTTATGTCTGCTTGTTCTAGTTTAGGAGCTTTCAAGTTTGGTAAAGCTGTTCATGGTTATTGTCTGAGGAATTTACGTGCAAGGAATATTATTTTGGACAATGCAGTGTTAGATTTCTATTTGAGATGTGGGTCTCTGGAGAGTGCTAGGTACCTGTTTGTAAATATGCCTAAGAGAGATGTGTATTCTTGGACTAGCGTGGTGGGTGGTTATGCACAAAGAGGCTTTTGTGAAGAGGCAGTAAGGCTTTTCCAACAAATGGTGCAAGGAGGGGAAGCTGAGCCTAATGAGGCTACCATTGTCAACGTATCGTCAGCGTGTTCTTCGATTGGGGCATTGAGTTTAGGCCAGTGGGTGCATAACTATGTAAGTACGCGGCCAGATCTCATGGTAAACGGCAATGTGGGAAATGCCTTAATCAACATGTATGTCAAGTGTGGCGATGTGGGTAAGGCAATTTCAGTTTTTAAAGGCCTGGATTGCAAGGATATCATTTCCTGGAGTACCATCATAAGCGGCATGGCCATGAATGGCAATGGTATGCACGTGTTGCAGCTCTTTTCGCTTATGCTAGTCCACGGGATTCCTCCTGATGATGTGACCTTCCTTGGCTTGTTATCAGCATGCAGTCATACAGGCCTAGTTGATCAAGGTTTGATATTCTTTAATGCTATGAAAGATGTTTACAGGATTGTCCCAAAAACACAGCATTACGCATGTCTGGTTGATATGTATGGCCGAGCAGGGTTCTTGGAGGAGGCAGAGGGTTTCATTAAAGAAATGCCAACGAAAGCAGACGGCTCTGTTTGGGGAGCACTGCTAAATGCTTGCAAGATTCATGGGAATGAGAAGATGTTTGAGAGGGTCAGGGATGATCTCCTCAAGAGTAGAGGAGTAAGCACTGGAACTTATGCTCTATTGTCGAATACGTACGCTAATCACGATAGATGGGACGATGCTAATAAGGTTCGTGACAAAATGAGACGGATGGGGTTGAAGAAACTGCCCGGATGTAGTCGGATAGAGGTTGATCCATCCATCTCTCCATAGGATGATCACAATACATTATTGCATTTCCTGTAAAGTAGCTGTTTGCTTTCTGTTGTTAGCCCTAATAGGACATAGAAAATATTGAAACACATTGGCATTCTTTTCTTTTTCTTCTACTTGGAGCATTCGTTTGTTTTTAGATCATCTATCATGTGACGAGTTCCTATGCTAGATATGGACAGCCATCCTCTATACGTTTGTAACAGTACTTATTCATAATCTGAAAAATAACATGCGTTAGGCAAGAGAAGGAATATTGAGCATCGAAATGGGTCAACAAAGCAACTCTTCTACGAAATAACTTTTCAACTCTCATTTTATTTCCACCGCAGAAAGAAAGAGTGAAACATTTCTCTGCAGAAAAGCGTGACCTTCAAGGAAATGAAGGCAACCTCTGTTCTAATTTCATTGATCACAAAACTGCACTTACAACGTGAGGAAAGTGAACGATAAGAGAATAAAAACTAAAAATTAAAGAAAAAACCCGAGTATTATAAAGGCCAACATAACTGGATCTTAAAAATAGCTCAGAATTTGTTAAATCGCCCACGTTTAATAAAAATGCTTCATCACTCTTATGTTGCAGGGAGTTGTAGAATCCCATCCCGCACTTGAAAACCAGAAGTTACAATATCTTAAACCATGCTTGAAGATGAATAAAACAAACAAATAGCAATTTAACTTGGGCCAAGTTTCACATATCGTCAAACGAGAAAATTACAAAAGCAAAGGGTAAAGACAACTATTTGTCTGTAAATCCAAATCCACTCAAAAAACTGTAATTGAGGCATGCCTCGGATCCAAAATTTCCTAAACAAAAACAGAACTGAAAAATAAGGAAACTGTGAGACTCTGGTAGCATGATCTCGAGTGCTGCAATCTCCTGCCGAACCAGAAATGAAAGAACTAAGTTTTTTTTCAGCAGCAAGTACACTCCATGGTGCATAATACAGCAAATCACAAACCTACCTCCCTGCAAGAAGAAAAAGTATATTGATTACTAGCAGAAACATAAAAAACATTGAGCACATGACAAATATACTTTTTCAGTCTTAATACCTCCAATAGTTAAGTGAAATCAACACCCCAGAACAGGAGATTAATTTTAATGATAAATATATAAATATGACTCCAGCATTTCCTAATGGACCAAAAATTTCCTAATGGTAGCTATGAGAATGTTATTCTCACACATCTGCATCCGATACATGGGTGTGCAAGTTGATGAGGTATGCATGTAATAGACACAAAAGATAGAATGCAAATGGTCCCAAAACAATGTGATATGCACAAAGCATACGCATCCCTAAATCTGGACTGAGAACAAGGAAAATCAACATATACAACTGTTTCCAATGAGTACTCAAAACAAAGACAAGCTGACCTGAAAGTGGGGCAATGTGTCTGAGTACCTCAAATATTTTAACGCCTTTGAGTTTTTCCAATTGATCGCTTTCCAGAGAACAAGTGCTTTGGTTTTAAAGTTGGAATGACCCTATCTGCCTCTCCACGACGAGCATTCTTGTTTCTCATCTTATTAGATTTATTGGCCTTTTGTAGTGCCTTAGCCTTTTGAGCAGAGTCCTTGAATCCCTCTCCAGGGACAACTTCAGTTGGAGGCCTTGATCTTGACCTCGAACGGGATCTAGATAACATGCGTTGCTTCTTGTTGGGTGTATCTACATCCATAGCATCTCCACCATCAGTATCATCCCTGTCAAGTGATCTCTCCCTCTTCCGGCCCCTAGTTGAGACAGATCGGCTTCGAGCTCGGTCAATTGCCTTAGTAGGATCAAGTCCCAACTTTGATAGCTGCCTCCCCATTCGCTTTGTTGTGAACTTCCTGTCCTTGTCAAATTTCCTCGGTACAGTTGGTCGACTCTCTGCTGTACTTTTCTTGATTCTGTGTTGTTGAATGAGCAAGCTTTTCTTTTTCCTTATCTCAGCCAATGTCTTTTGCTCTTCTGGAGTCAATTCCAATCCATCCATCTCAAAACCATCATCACCCTCCTCTGCCTGACGGTGTCCTTCTCGTTCCAATTCCTCAAGCCTATGCAAAATATCAGGATCAACAAAGTCGTATATATTGTGCCCATCAAGAATTTCTGGCATGACATCCTCTTTCCATTCATCATTAGCTAAGATATAATTCTTCTTCAAACTGGCAGAGTATACACCTGCACCACCATTCTCATTCTCCAAATCCCTTTCTGTATTTCTCTTTTCCTTCTCTGCTGCTTGCTTAGCCTTAGCTTCTAAAACTGCCTGAGGTATACATGGGGGTCTTTCCTTATTGTCACGTGGCTTTGGCATTGCAACATGAAAACGATTTAAGCAGTCATTTATCTTTTTGGATTTCATCTTCAATTCCACTCTCTGATTCAACAACCTCTCACAAGCTGCATTCTTTACAGCAATAACCCCCTCCTCAGTCAGAGTACTCATGGTCAAGAGTACCCCCTCATCATTGGTAGCCTCACCTCCTTGACCAATCACTGTCTTCATAGCTTCAGCTTTCATCTCCGTGACCAACTTCTTGTCTTCCTCAGATATGTTCTCCAGTGGCTGCAAATCAGTCTTGTTGCAGACTATAATCAATGGTTTGTTCATAAACAAAGACTTAATACTGTGAAAAAGAGCTGCCTGTTGGGCAATGCTGTACCCACAAGACCCTGAGATATCCAAGAAAAACAAGACCGCAGCTCTCAAGTGAGCCAAGGCTGTTATGCTGCACATCTCAATAATGTTACGGTCTTCAAATGGGCGGTCCAAAATCCCGGGTGTATCAATTACCTGGTACCTCAAGTACTTATAATCTGTATGTCCCACAAAGAGTGACTTGGTGGTAAAAGCATAAGGCTGGACATCCACATCAGCCCTAGTGATCTTGTTAATGAATGAGCTCTTTCCAACATTCGGATAGCCACAAATCAATACTGTCCTGGTATTAGGGTCAATTGAAGGTAGCCTTGCCATGTGTTGCCTAATTTGTTCTAGGTAAGCTAAACTAGGACCAATCCTCTTTATAACCGTGCACATGCGGCCAAGAGCAGCGACCTTGAGACATTTGCATCGGTAAAGTGAATCACCATACTTTAACAATTTCACATAATCTTTGGAAATCTTACCAATAAGGTTCCTTGCAGTATTGATCTGGCCAAGTGCAAGCTTGTAATGGTCTTTGTTGTAGAGAACATGAAGAAGGTCGCCATAGAAAGGGTGGATGTCATCCAGCCTAGGAAACTCATCAATGATTGTGGATAGCTTCTCATGAAAATTCTGTTGGGTATATTTTACTTTACGCATATAGAACTGACGAAGGCGGGAAATGGCATAACCCTTGTGGACTACAGTTGGGGTCTGCCTCTGGGTGCGAGACAGGATAATGTCAATGAAGTCCTTCCCACTGGGTACAACAGTCATCTTCTTGAAGTTATATTGCACCATGTTTACTTA